TTTTGGTATGGTCAAATGTGCATGCCACAAAACAACCTAACGTGAATATACAAGTATGAGCTAGTTGATTGAGGTAAATGGGGAGGTATGCAAAGTTATAAATATAAAACACATTCTCCTGGAAGAGAAACAGAGGGCACTGAAGATTGAGCTCTGAAAAATCTAGATTTTTAACAAAATTTCATTAGCAAATACAAATAAAGGCAATTTGCTATATTTCAGTTCTTCAAATCAGAAATCTAAACAGATAAAAACAAACAACAAATAATAAAAAGCCAATAATCACCATTTATGAATGCTTTATTATGTGTTAAAACACCATACTTGGTGCTTCACAAATTCTCATTAATCCTTACAACAACTCAATGAGGTATGTATTCCCATTTTATACATGGGGAAACCACAGCTCAAGTAGGTTGAAAAATTTGGCCAAGTGTACACAGCACGTGAATTGGCAGAATTAGAATGAACTGATGCTGCAATCTGCCAGCCTCCAGCATCCTGGCTCTTTTCACACACTTCAATGCCTCCAGCACTGCTGCTGCAGTTGTATTAGTCTGGCATTAACCACACCCTCCTTATCTCAGAATTCCGGTAATAAAACATAGTTAAGATGTTAGCAGTATATCGGCAAATTCACCTCAAGTTTTGTGGCTAAGCAATGCTATTAGTAATGTTACACAAACACACAAAGGGCAATCCATGTACCTAATTTTGACAAACTCAGTGGTGCAGGAAAATGCCAACTTGTTAAATTAATAATTTAACACAAACTTTGAAAAATTTAATTTACATTATAAAACACATATCTATTATCAATACCCGTTAGCTTTCAATAACATTTTAGCCTTCCTCAAGTCTTAGCAATCATACTTTTGTGTGAAAATATTCCTTCTCTAACAAGAATGTTTGGATTCTACTTATAGGTGTCAACTCCCAGTAAGAGAGGATTTAAGAAATTCACCTAAATTCACTATTTATTAAGTAAGAATATTAGGATTTGTATTTCTTAAAGCACTATCCCTCCTCATTTTACTATAAATGTATTGAGGTTCTAAGACCTCTAACACAATTATCAAAATTTGAAACACCTCTCAGTTTAAAAAGGGAGGTTCCAGAAGGCTTTGAAACACTTAATTATTAAGCATATTGGGTTTGAACACTGACATTACTTTTAGTTTACAAAAGGGCTAGCCCAATCCAAGTAAGAGGAAATACCTTTGATATAAAATACTAAGCTGAGAGAATGATTTTTCCAAATAGAAGTTTAACACAAAGTCAACTGCATATTTAGTTTAAAAAAAAAAAAAACACAAAGTCTAATCATTATAGCTTTGATATTTAAAATGATGTTCACAAGTATAAGATCTGGTCTTTTTTCACTTATTAAAAAAAAAATCTGCTCTCCAATAAAATAATTACTTCAATATCCAGCCCCCTTAAAAGCCACACAGAGAAAATAACAATACATTCTTACAAAGATTTTAAAAATCCAAAGATAAAAATCCACAGAAAAAAAAAATTCCTGAATCATAGTTCAATGCCAAAGTAATAAAAAGGAATACTTCATTCTGACAAATATTTGCTTACGTTGTTTTTCTTCCTTTGGTGTTCAACAGCATCCTTCAAAGAATCTAACTCATTCCGAAGACCAGTTATTTCCTTCTCTCTTTCTGAAATTCTAAACCAGAACATGAATATATATAGCAAAATTTCAGGGAAACATAATATAACTTAGATACCTACATATCAACATTTGTTACTACAAAATAAAAAACATCAAGTAGATGATGCTTTGAAGAATGCATTAACTTAATAGCTTAGCTACTGTTTACCACAGAAAGACCACCCTATGGATTCTTATTTTAGAAATAATTTTTAAAATAAGTCTCTCATACACAATATGATATGCTGAGATTTATGCTAAAGAGAAATCTCATCCCCTAAGAAATAGTTCATGAATATATGAACTGCTGTGGTTGTAGTTATTTCCGTTTTTACCTGGTCAGTGCAGTAGCTATTTTCAGAGGAGTGAAAACTGATATAGAAGCAGTCTCTTAAATATATTATTATTTTTCAGAAGGCAATGAAATCAGTAATGACTTTAAGTGGTTATAACCCACAACAAAAACATGATATTAAAATGAGCTAGGTGTTCTCTTGCCATTTTCACACCAATCTCAGGATTCATGTAGTTTTCTGGTCCTGTCCAATTATTTCCCAGAAATGCAGAAAGTACTGACAAAGATTCACAATTCAGTTCTGCTATAGTTGAGAGTGGCTTGGGTAGAAAGTTAAATCACAAATAGCTCTTCCCTGAGAATAAGGCTCTAAATAAGGGGTTGGCAGACTAGGGCTCTGGGCCTAGCTCACAGTCTGTTTTGGTATGGCTCTTAAACAAAGAGATGTTTTTACTTTTTTAAAAGGTTGTTTGGAAAAAAAAAAAAAGAATATGAAAGAGACCTATATGGCCACAAAGTTTAAAATATTCACTACAAAGCCCTTTATAGAACATATTTGCTGACTCTTGCATACAGTACTCAAGACTCAATTTAACAGTAAATAATTCTAACATAGTAAAATGGCCAACTTTGTAAACAAGCCAAGATAGAATAAGTTAGATTATTCATATCACCTATTAATACGTTTAATGTGGTTGACATTTAACATGTTAAAACATACCAACTTATCTGATATGACCTTAAATGTGACAGGCTGATCAAAAAAAAAAAGTTTCAGTAAAAAAAGGTCTCCTTGAAAGAGAGCAACCATAAAGATTACAAGTTTTCTTAAAAATGCAGAAGCTAAACTAAAATTTGCATTGCTCAATTCCATAATGATATCCAGAAGAAAAAAAGACTCAGTAGGATAATTAAGATAACTGAAAGTGATTTAGTAAAGCTTTCAAAGTCTAGTTTAATTTGTTTCAATGTTTTCTAAATGCCTGGTGAGAGGTGAGAGGGGGAACCCTCAACAAAATATTCAGACATCCAAATACCATAAAAAGGTGCATTAATAACCAAAGGCACAGCTAAGCTCTACTGACCTAAAGTTCAAGATATCCAAATAGAACGGTAAAAATTAGGTGACCATCTGCAGTTACATTAAATTGCTTATCTGAGAACTGTTTAGCACATAAAGTTACCACTTCCCAAATTGTAAATCAAACTCATTACTTACACTTCTAATAATTCTTCATGAGGGGGAAAAGAAGATGCCTATTAAAAGAGTTAAATATTATTTCAAAACAAAGCTTTCTAGAAGACTTAAATTAAAATTCTTCTCAAATATAAATTAAAAACAACACCAAAAGTAAAAATACCATATATTATACATGCCAGTCACCTTGGCTTTAATTAATTTTAATAAAAACGTGTACAAACTTATAAAATGCACTGAAAACTAAATCCAATTTTCATTATCAGTTCATACTTATACTCTTCATTTAGTATTTATTGATTTCCTACTATGTGCAAAGTACTATTATACTGTGTAATTTACATCTGACTACGTAAAAATTTTAAGCTTGCAGAAGTCAAAAAAATACCATAAATGAAATAAAAAGAAAAACTAAAAAAAAATCATTTCCCAATACAGAACAAAAAGTTAATTTTACATAATATGCAAAGGTACATTGTCCTTTGCACGTAGTATTTATTCCTTGATGATTACAATCTCCTAAACTAAGCTACTATAAGCTTTCTTGTTGACAGGGACTCTAATTCTTTTGTCCCTTGTAGTGGATTGAATTATGTCCCCCCGCCCCCAAAACTCCCTGAAGCTTGAACTGTGTCCCCCAAGATTTTGCATTAAAAACTTAGCCCCCACTGTGATTATTCAAAGGGTGGGAAATCCTATTATGGCAATTGAAAAGTGGGGCCTTAAAGAGGTGATTAGATTTTGAGGACCATGCAGTAGTGAATGGATTAGAAATGGTGGTCAGGGCATGATTCTGAAGGCTTTAAAAGTTTAGGAGAGTCTGTCTTTCTCTCCCTCTGCTCCCTTTGCTTCCTTTCTCCATGTGATCTGCTTGTACCCGCCAGCTGCCTGCCGCTTTCCACCATGAGTAGAAGCAGCCTGACACCCATGCCAGATGCAGCTGTCCCAGAATCGTAAGCCAAATAAACCTCTGTTCTTTATACATTATCCAGTTTCAGGTATTTCTGTTATAGCAATACAAAACGGACTAATACATCCCTCAAAATACTTTCTGGTCTATCCATATATGTTCATAAATTAATTTAAAGGATATTTTGGGTAACATATCTTTAAAAAACACATTTTTATTTTATGTTTACCAAGGAGGATTATACCTTGAAAAGGTATGTTAAACAGTGGTAGCATATCACTTAGAATATTACACATTTATTAGTTTCTCTCTAATTCTTGATGTTTTGTTTGGAGAAAAGGGAGATAGGGTCTACACATACATTTAAACTAACCTCTATAGGATTTTAACTGACTTGCTAAGAAAACCACTGTAGAGGATCAGAAAACACACACACAGATAGAAAACAGAGCTGGAATACAGATAGTAATGTTATTTGTGTATACTTTATAAATCGTGGATTATTTTATCTTGTATTTGGCATAGCAAATTACTTTGTTTCATAGGAAATTTGATAAACACTTGTAAATAAAAGACATGCTTTATTTTCAATAAAAATACAAAAATGGTGAGAAAACTTAGTCATTAGTTACATAATATTTTACCACACAAATAAAAGGCAAGACATCTAATAGTACCTACCTTTTGGTAGTTCTGTTGCTTGAGCTGCTCAATTTGGTATTTAAACAATTTGTTTTCATTCTGTACCTCCTATTTAAACAAAAATTAAGCATGAATACCTGAATAGAGATTTTTATTTTCCATATAAACTTTTAAAACATAACAATCACACAAGCTAGGAAAATTCCAAACTAGTAATAATTTTTTAAGTGTGAAATAAGCCCTGTATTAAAACATATTATGAAATTAGAATAATTATATTTAGTACTAGCCTGTGAATGGGCATGTCTCAATAAAACAAAATAAGATCCAGAAACAGACCCAAATATCTGTAAGAATTTAGTATAGGGTGATATTTCAAATCAGTAAGGCAATGTTTCTAAACCTCAACACTAGTGACATCTTGGGCTAGATATTACTATGTTGTAGGGGGCTGTACTATGCACTGTAGGACATTTAGCAGCATCCACAGCCTCCACCTACTACATGCAATAGCACCCCTCCCCCCCCAGTTGTGACAACCAAAAAATGTCTCCAGATATTGCTAAATGTTCCCTGCAGAGCAGAACCACTACAGTAATGATGGATTATTTAATAATGTGGCTAGTCGTCTTTTTAATGGTTAGAATGTTACTCTCACAGCTTATGAAAATAAGTTACATATGAATAAAAAGTCTAAACAAAAAAATTGTAAATGTGTGAAATGTGAAAATATTTTTATGATCACAGAGTGAGAGATACCTTTCTTCCCAAGAGGTGCTACTGCATATAGTAGATGGAGGCCGTGTATACTGCTAAGTGTCCTACAGTGCATAGGACAGCCACCCATAGCAAAGTAATATCTAGCCCAAGATGTCACTACAACTCAGGAAATTACTTGTATGAGGACATAAAAATTTTATACTTCCAAAACAAAACACAAATGAAGGTCAAAAAAAAAGCTGGGGGGAAAAAATCACCTCCCATAAAGATAAAAGGCTAATTTCCTTTACTATGTAAAAAAGATCCTATAAATTAGTAAGAAAAAGTCAACTCAGAAAAAAAAAAAAGTGGAAAAAATTAAAGAACAATTCATAAACAAATGGATTAAACATATGAAGAATGCTTAACTTCTCTCATAATCACATGCAAATTAAAAACAGTCCTATCATTTTTCAAGTATAATATCAAATGTTTTCATTTTTGTCAGTGTTGGAGAGGAAGAAGGGAAAATGGCCTTCTAGGCAAGAGTGTAAATTAGTAAAAACAATTTTGGAGGGCAATTTAGCATTATCTAACAAAATTAAAAATGAACATATTTCTCATAGTGTCCCATACCAGGGCAAACCGTGACCCTGAGCCACTGCCTGGCGTCTGTGTCCATAGGCTGCTGGCACTGAAGCAGACTGCTCAGTGGAAAAAGAAAATGACCCTACTTTGTGAGGGAGAGGGAAGGTAACAGAACCAACTTCTGGACTATGAAATATGAACAAGACTAGTATGAGACAAGGTAGGCATCTACAAACTTGCTATCACTTCAAATCAATGTTCTGTAAGTACTTTGAATATTAACTAAATGAAGATGAGGAGACACTGATTTTCTATTTAAACCATTTACCTTTGAAAAAGGAAAACAGACTAAGAACATACATAAACCTTTTACCCAGAATTTCATTTCTAGGAACTTATAATACAGATATACTAGGAAAAGTATTCAAAATATGTGTACAAGGATATTCACTGCAGCACTGTTTGTAACAGGAACAACTCTAAATAATCCTGGTATCCATCAACTATAACTGGTTATATAAATGATGATACAATCACACAATACCATGAAGCTATTAAAAATTAAAAATAGAGGGCCAGCCCGGTGGCGCACTGGACAGTGCGCCGCTTGGGAGCGCGGCGGCACTCCCGCCGAGGGTTCGGATCCCATGTGGAGACCGGTTCCCGCTCACTGGCTGAGCGCGGTGCGGGCACAACACCGAGGATTGCAATCCCGTTACCGGTCAGTAAAAAAAGACAAAAAGGAAAAAAAAAGAAAAAAGTTAAAAATAGAAATGTGAAATTTCCCAATATACCAAAATCCAAATGGAAAAAGTAAACCCAGGAGTTAATTATTTCTAAATTTTTTTAATGTCATGATGAAAATGAATAGTATTTTCAAAGTAAGTGGCATTAAGACCACTCAGAAGTGAGGGTCAACAAAAAATCCTTAGATAAATGTTAAAATTACTTAATTAATAATTCTAACCAGATAAAGAGAAAATACAACTAAGAAATTGCCTAATGTCAGGCAGGCTCTTTTACTTATTATTTTGGGTCTTACTTTATATTTGTAAACTCAAAACTTTTATATCACTGCAGTAAGAAGCAATGACATCCTATCTAGAGTACTCTACACAGTGCCTAGCATATAGTAAGTACTCAATAAGTTGCAGCCTCTATTATTGATAATCTATGCATGACTAGTGACTTGATTAAAACTCTAATGGACAGATTCCATCTTGGAGAAGGAGAAACAGACAAACAACAGACTTGGTATGTTTTTATGTAACAGGTTTGCGTAATAACTTCGTATAGCATACATTATACGAAGTTATACGACTAAGAAAAAAGACAGCAGAAACAATGCCTACCAGCTCCTTCACCCCATATTACACCAACTTACAAGTTTGTCTTAAAAGACAGTGTTTCCAGGATCAGTCTAGTCAAAGCATACCCTAAAACTGCTACATCTTATTTCATATTTAACATTTTTTAAGCAAATATGGCTTTATCTAGGAGGAAATTCTAAAACAAAGCCTAAGAACAGAGCTATATTTTGTCAACTCTTTATAAAAATTACCACTTTAAAAAAAATGAGTTTTGCTCTAAAGAATCTTGTTTATAATTGGTTGACTCTGGAATTACAATGTACCCAACCCTTGTGCTGAAGAGATGCTACATTTAATTTAATCTGGTTCTCCCTTACCAAGACCAGATGTCTTACTCTAACTACCTCAAGAGAATCCCAATTGCCCTTGTCATCCTAAGTGATAGACCTGTAACATAACACTTAACACTATTAAAATGATCTTTTTATCTATTTCCTCAGGATAGAAACCCATCTTATCCATTTCAGTATCCCCCAGTGCCTGAAGGCACATAATAGACTCTCAAGTACTTGCCCACTTGAACACTATTTCTATTCCACCTTAATCTAGAAAGAATTTCAAGATGCTTATAAGTCTATATGAAAAATGACAAAACAGCATACAGGAAGAGTGGGATTAAAGGATGAAAAGAAAAGGCAAATCTTAAATGCATTGCTAAGTGAAAGAAGCCAATCCAAGAAGGCTACATACTGTATGATTCAAACTATGACATTCTGGAAAAGGCAAAACTACAGAAACAGTAAGATCAGTGGTTGCTAGGGATTCAAAGGGCAATGGGAGGGAGGGGGATGGAGAAAGGGTGAGAGGTATGAACAGGTGAAGCCTAGGAAATTTTAAGGGCAGTGAAACTATTCTGTATGATATGTAATGATGGATACATGTCATTATTCATTTGTTAAAACCCACAAAAAGTGAACCCTAATGAAAACTGAACTTTAGTTAATAACAATGCATTGCTACTGGCTCATCATCTGTAACAAATGCACCCTGCTAATGCAAAATGTTAATAATGAGGGAATCTGGAAAAAGTGTGGGGGGTAATATAGAAACTCTGTACATTTCTCTCAATTTTTTTCTGTAACCTAAAACTGTTCCCCCCAAAAAATAAAATCTACTAATTTAGAAAAAGAAAAGACAAGGAAAACATAAGGCAGATACAAACATAAAATTACATATTTTAATGATCTATATACATACTACAAATAGGCTGCAAATGTGTCTCTGAGCTTTCCATTAGCAAATGAGAGATAAGCACCCTAACAGTTACACAATGCCCACAAGATAAATAGTTTTACAAATGAGCAATCCTGGTGCCAAGAATAGAGTGTCTCCCTCATTTTCATGTAGACAATAACCTAATAAATATCTTCAGCATCTCACTTTTAAGGATACAATTCCAAAGAGGCACTTCTTAAAAACAAACATCAATAAAAACTGATGTCATTACATCAAAGAAAAATCTCTTAAAAGTAATTCATTTATGCATTATGTCTAAGATTATCTTCTAATTCAGAGATATTATTTGAATGCATTTTTATATTGAAAATAATTTTATATTTTAAATAATTTGAAATAAATTTTATATCTCACTACAATAATTGCACTCTTTGTTTAAAAACAGAACTTAAAACCACTTTTTAAAAAAAACTTTTTGCAGGGCTGGCCCGGTGGTGCACTGGAGAGTGCGCCGCTTGAGAGCGTGGCAGCGCTCCCGCCGTGGGTTCGGATCCCATGTGGAGACCGGTTCCCGCTCACTGGCTGAGCGTGGTGCAGGCGCAGCACCGAGGGTTGCGATCCCGTTGCCGGTCCCTGGTGCGGGCACAACACCGAAGGTTGCGATCCCGTTACCGGTCAGTAAAAAAGACAAAAAAAAAAAAAAAAAAAAAAAAAAAAAAAA